AAGATTTTTTTTGGATTGCTATGAAATCATCGTTTATCTTCTTTATATCTGTACAAGAAAATTCAATCCTATGAAAAATATCTGGTTGATCTTTTATTACGGTCAATTTTTTGATAAAATTATTTTCATTGTATCTTAGTCGTTGCATGACTATAATTTTAATACCTTCCAGCCTGTCATCGAAATATAAACTACCGTGGAATGGTTCATCTAATTCTGGAAGTTTATCAACACAATGTCTATGAATTTGTACAGCGCCATCATTAAAAATATATTTCCATTCAAGATGACCGGGAAGAGAGTTTGTCTGTAAGTCCCATGAGCTGCATGTTGTGCTAGTAGTTTTTTTAAATCCAGCCTCGACGGAAGGCTGTGTAGAGAGTTTTATTCCAACATTTTTTTCTGTATTCACAGAACTAGTCATTATATGTCTTCGGACAGGTGAAAATTCTTTTAGCCGTGTAACAACATGTTTAAGATGAGGATGAATGGGGACAATATGGATTTCAAATGAAATACAATGATAATGATCACTATTTATACATCTTGTGTCGACATTTTTTTTTTTAATCCAAATATCCACAAACTTTGCACCTTTTTCATCGATTTTAACTTCTACACTTATGCTAATATTCATGTTAACGTCTTGACTCTTTTTATTCATGTAAACACCTTGACTCATTATGTTATCTAAATCAATAATACAGTTGGACGAGATACTGATAGATTTTTTCTAACATTATTAGTATAGAGTTTAGGTACATCTGCATCAACAATCGTAGTTTCGTCTGACGTCACATCACCCACAAAATAATATGCTATATCATAGTTTTTCTTGAAGGTTCTTGAGATTTTTTTCATTATAGATTTATCTAATTCTTCACTTGACCAATAAGTTAAATAAAGCTTTTCGTCATTAACAACGTGAGGACCTATGGCATATACTTTTTTATTTTTTAAAATATTTTGTAATTCACCTTCCTTCTCTTTAACTTTACAATATAACATAACAACTTCTTTGAACATGTTTTCATCATAACTTTGAAGAATGATTGATTGTACTTCCAAAGAACTGTCTTTGTCCATCCAAACCTCTTCCGCAGGATTTATGACATCAGGAAATTTAAAAGAGAGATTATTGTTGCTTGAATCTGACGAACATTTTCCTTTCCCTTTAAATGAATTGAGAAGTTGTTTAAGTGGTTTTTTTAATTTGTCACACTTAATCTTTCGTAATAGTGTTTCAAATTTTTTGATACATATTTTAGAATCATTATCATGAAATTCATCTATTGCAACTTCAGCATCGTCCATTGTTTGTCTGAATACGGTAAAGGAATCATCTCTATTTTTATGACGACTAAAGGCATCAAAAAAAATTTTTAACATGAAAACAATAACCATTAAAACCCTATAAGAAAATTGGATCGTGATGGCACGGGGTGGTTTCGGGATGGCATGGGTTTTGGTGGCACGGATAAGAAAC